AAAAAACGTTTAGAATACGAAGCCTACATACTATAGTACCAAGTATACCCGTTGCATTTAATACACAATCAAAATCTGAATGTGTTAATAATTGACACAATCTTTGTATAACATCAATTGTACAATTGACAGTAAATATCGATAGAAATAATTCAAGACCATTTTCTATTTCAATAATACTACCAATAATATAAGCACTATTGACACAGATACTAGAATAAACAAAAAAAAATTATATAAAAAAGAATAGATGTGTTTACTCACCAATTATCATCTGATAATAATAATTGTGTAATAAATAGAAATATATTGTTCATAGTTGGTTGATTAAAAAAATAGTCGATGGTTTTATTTCGATCATATTTTAAATCATCGACGAAATATTCTAATGCATGACGAATCGATTTACTAATATGATCATCTTCATTATTTGATTTAAATCGAAGAAAATAATTTTTATGATTAAAATAAAATTCATGATTATCGTCATCATTTTCCATATTAGACGAAGAGAAAAAGATTTGCAATTATTCTTGCGTTGTTTGTATGAATATGAATATATATTTTTTTTTTGAAAAGAAAAAGTACAAAAGTAAAAGAAGAAAAAAAGCGAAATATAAGTCATCAAATGTGGACACATTATTTTCTTTGTCAAGAAGTAAACTTAATAATCAAAATGAAGCCGTTCATTGCATACTTGATCAATAGCTTGATGAATGGTGAAATCAAATAAACCAATTTCACATAAATTAGCCATAATATAAAGTTTGTGAAGAACAAATTCATTCTAAAAAGAAAAGAATTACGTTCTTTTTTTTTTCATTAACAAATAAATATACTTGTAGATCAAAACATTTTTCTTGAATACGTTCTGTTACAGATTGATAAAGCAATTGAAGCTATTTGATGAATATGTGATGTAATAGTTGTTCGATCGTTATGTAGTTGAACAAGTTCACGTTCTAATTTTTGTTTTTCAAGTGAATTATCTTCTGCAGCAGCTAACCGACGAGTAACAATTGAATCGTACTCGAAGTAAAGTATTATAATATTTTTTCAAGATATTATGATTTGATTTATATAATTGTTTACTTGCACCTTGAAATTCACTAACATTATGAGTTTTACCTAAATTCTAAACTAATCATTATTAAAATAAGAAAAATTCTATATATGATCTTACAAGACAATTTCTTCAGCATCGGAATCTTCTATCCAAACAACTGAATAAACATCACCTAAATATGTTTGTCGTTTATCATCATAATAACAAGCATAGGATGATTCTTGAGCATTTGATGCTGTTGTTGCATAAACATTTATATTATTTGGTAAAAGATCTTCAAGCATTGAACCTGATTCACATGCGTCAATCACCATGAGGAAAAGCAACTAAACCTATATTTAAAATAAGAATAATAAAAATTTCAAAAGAAAAAAAATGATAAACTTTACCAACAGCACCATGATCAGTAAAATAAATAAAAACATTATCATCAGGACCACTGAAATATATGTATATAATCTCTCAGTTATTTTTGTTTTTACCTTTCTAAAACTTTACTACTACCAACACCTTTCAACGCTTCTTTTTCACCAAGTAATACATGCATAGAATTTTTTGGTGTTACTTCCTTAAACATCATCGCCATCAGGATGATTAATAATAACACCTTTCGTTGGATTTCTGAAGAAGATGGCAAAAAAATGAATAGTTTATTATACAAAAATTCTTTTACTTACTCAATATTTTTAGCTAAATCATCATACATCATCACAATTATATTTGAATCAGGAATACCATTTTTATGTAAAATTTGATAAGCATGACAAACATCAGCTTGATGTCGATAATTATACTAACCAGTAGAACCAGCGACAAGGACTATCCAATTAGCTGCCCATGTACAACTAATTCCAATTAAGAATAAACTTACAAAAATCTTATGCACATAAAGTCTAACTTTCTTCTATTCTACGTGTTGTAAGATGACAAATACGATCCTATACATATATGTATCTATTTCTTTCCTTTTCTCAACCTTCAGGTGTTTTTTCGGTCATTCATTTTCCATGTCGCTCATATTAGAATAAATGTTAGATAATCCTATTCCGTAATTTTTGATGGAAATTTGAATTTAAAAATGTCATTATTTTTTGCCACTTTTCAAGTTTAAAAGCATTCCATTTTTTTGAGCTAAACAAACTAAAGAAAAAATGAAATTTTTCGTCTTATAAATTGGCATACAGAAAAATTGATACTAGAATTTCCTTCGAATTACAAAAGAGTAAGCATTAGAAATGCGTCCAAATTAATTGGTCATTTTTTAACTGAATTACTTTCGAATGATTGTGAGGATTCAATGATTATCAAATATTTCATCTATTCAACTGCATCATTATCATCCCTCCCGTTCTCAAAATAATTCTTCTGTTTTACTCTTTTTCATCGAAAAAATTCTTGGGACGAGGGGTGTTTTGATCACCGAAAACGGAGTGAAATGATCACTTAATTAGTTGTATGTGAAATGATCACCGAAAAAGGAGTG